TTCTAGCCCCCACCCGCCCGGGTCACAGCGCTGGGCAAGGGTCTGATCGACTCTGCTCCGACCCCACTCAGCGCCACGAGGGAGGGCGGCAGTGCCAGACACCAGGCAGCCCTTGTCCTGTTGCCCTCAGTTGCCAGGGGGAGCTGTCAGTACCCACTCCCGTTTGGTTAAAGGCTTCCGGGACTAAGCAGGGTGCAAGATGGAGAGGAGGGCGGGGAAGAGACAGGAGGTGGCTAAGGGGGCCAAAGCCCAACTAGGCTCACCCGGAACAGAGAGATCTCACAGTCCGCTGGGCCTGTCAGACCCGCACGGCACCCCGAGTGTTGAGGCTGCTGCTCCAGGGGGTGGGGGGAAGTTCGCGCGCCTGGCATGGGTGGGGCACACGCCCAGGACACACGCACACAGGCCCATCCAAGGGCTGGCACACACTCGCCTCTGCGTGACACTAAGTGTGTCCTCTGCTCTCCCACCTGCTCCAAAACCACCAACAGCAGCAGGAAAGGAAAAGAGTGCCAAGAAGAATTATTCAGAGGCTTCTGGGGGAAAATCGTTAATGTGTTGGTTCCTTTCACCAAACCACAACCTAAAAGAGTAACTCACAAGATCACAGAGCGGAAACAGTGCTGCAGGCTGCTACTCAGCTTCCCAGCTGTGGACAGGGAGCTACCACCAAGCGGCCACTCCAGACAGGCAGGCAGCAGCGACAAGATGCAGCCTGACAAGCTGTCCCAAAGCAGGGTGCAGCCGGCCACAGCCATGGCCAGGCACTGAGACCAGAGGATACTGCTGACAGATGTGCCCAGATCTGAGGCACAGACCCAGAGGAGAAAAATCTCCAGCCTCTTGGAGGGCAGGGGGCCGGCAAACACAACAGTGCCACACAGAGCCACCAGAGCAGCAGCTGGGGACAGGAAAGTCCCCTGGGGCCGGACCCTTTGGGCAGAGCTGACCTGTACTGCAGGGCTGTTCTTTGAAACCCAAGTGTCCATGTTGGGTAAGGGAGGAGCTGGCGCGAGGTCAGGGTCAGAGAAGACACGCATCACGTCTACACAGCGGACAAGTCGGGGAGACGTGGCCTCAGCCCAAGCCTCCACTCACTGTGTCAGAAAGGTCAGGAGAAAAAGGTAGAAACAAAACACGCCACCTTCACAGCAGGAAAACGGAATCAACAAGGATCAGAAAACACAAAACAGATGCAGGAAGATATGCATCTGCTGCTGAGACACAAAGGGTGATGGCCGGAGGGCGGCCCTGAGGGCTGGCGTGGTAGGGTGGGAAGGCTCCCCAGTCCAAACCCTATGAAGGAACAGGAGCGCGGCCTTCCCACGACTGCCCTCACTCCAGGACAGCTTCCTCCACAGCCTGAGCCTGCTGTCCACAGTGTCTACCCTCTTCCTGTCTCTCCCAAGTGTCTGCGGCCTGTGGAGGCCATCAACAATGGGTGACAACCCCTCTACCAGGGACAACAGTGAGGACAGGCCGAGGAAGTACAGGGTCTGGCCACTCTTTTGGACTCTTTGTGACACAGTTCCAACTCACTGTCATACCAGCTCCCTAGGAACTGCCTGGACCCAAGTGGGGCAAAGCCTGATGGCAGGAAGCCATGGAGGGATGTGGAGTCAGAGCTGTTTCCAGACCAGCCAGGTGACACGAGAAGCATCTGGGCATTGCATCCAGAGACCACACGGCACACGGCTCCCATCTACCACAGCCGCACACAAAGGACTACGTGGGGGACCAAGACACTGCTGCCCCACGGCCATCCTGGGCCGGCTGCCCTGCTTCTCGCCTCCTAGGAACCCCCTGTGCTCTCCAGGGCCCCAGACACCAGCCAGTGACCCTAGGAGAGGCCAGAGACAGGGCTGGAACATCTCAGAGCTGCCCACCTGATACCTCCAAGGCGCTTCCAGAGCCAGGGCTGGAGGGCCGGCTGCCCCGCCCAGCGGCCAGCATGGGAAGGTGGGCCTGGCTCCAGAGGGAAGCCCCTCTGAAAGTTCAGTAGTCGGTCCCTGGAAGACACAGATCACAAGAGGAGTGGGAGAAGGGCCAGAGCTAAGAGCTGCCAGCCTGGGCCCAGCATCAGAGGTCAGAGCCCTTGCCGGCACTGGCCGAGAAGCCCTTGGGGCAAGGCAGGGATATGGAAGAAGGGGCCGCTGCAGGAGGAGCCCCAAGCCCTCCTTTTGGGGCAGCACCGCCCTAGCCCTGAAACACGTCTAGGACAAGTGGGCGCTGGGGTCACAGCCCCCAGTGTGGGCCTAGCAGCTGCCCAGCAGAGGCCACACAGGAAGCCCAGGAACAAAGCGGAGCCGGCCCGGCACCACTGACGGGAGGGCAATGAGGAAGACAGCGGGACGTGTGGGCCACCCCACGGCCCCCACAGTGACTCCTGGCCTGCTGCCCGGGGCCCAAGGTGGTGGACATGGAAGCAGCATGGGAGGCACTGAGAGGTCCCAAGTCCCACCTGCCCTGCCACGAACCCAGGCAAGTTCTAGAGACACACACGCAGGCACACACACACAGGAAGTCGAGGGGCAGAGCCAGTGCCTGCACCCAGCACACACCTGGAGCAGAAGGGGCCACCGAGGGACATGGGGCAGCGCGGGAAGGAGGGGAGGCTGCACTGCCTGGCGCCCTGGCCTGGCGAGCCAGCAGGAGCAAGAAGACAACCAAATCCCAAAAACGAACACGGGGCGCGGACACAAGAAGTGACACCCACAGGTCAAAGGTCACCAGAAGCACCAGCACATTACGGCCGCACAAGACCTCACCAGGCACGACAAAACCACGGCACCGGCAGGACGGAAGCAAAGGGGCAAGGCTAAGTCACTTTCGGTACAGTTGCAAAAGAGATATCAAAGGGGACGGACGTGAGGACGCGCAGGGGGGTTGCGGTTTGGCTTTTTTTTTTGTTTTTTCTTTTTTTAAACTAAGTTTTATAAATAGCGTCTGGTAACTCTGTGTGTATAAAAACTAAACTCAGCGGCCACAGAGCTGTCCATAAGTTTACAAGAAAGGGCTTCTTTTTCTTTTTTTTTTTTTTTTTAACTAGTGAAGGCTCAACTACACGCTCTCCCCTTTTCTGTTGATGGGGGCCAACGCCTTCTAGCTTTTTTTTTTTTTTAGAAAGACAGTTTTATAAATACTTTGCAGCTCTTTTTCTCTTTAGCTTTTAAACATATAATTTAATAACTTCGTAAAAGGAACTTATTCTCTCTGTTAAGGGCTATTTAACCACACAAGCCGATCATGTAAACAGTGACACAGGACCCATTGCAAGGACACACTGGACACACCCTTCACAGACGCGCACAACCAGTGATTTCGGCCTTGTTCAGTGCAGTGCGTTAGGCCCGAGCGCTGCACCCCTGGCCCGCAGCCTCACCACATCCTCAGCCACCACCCAGGTGGGGCGGGGCCTGCTGGGGGCCTCATGGCCAGCACAGCAGCCCTGCAGAGTGGGGCCATGCTGCCCACCGGGTCTGTCTAGAATGCATCCCGCGGCCCCCCTCCAGCCGGCAGCTGCAGTCAGGGGCCTCCTGCCGGAGCCCCCCTGCTCAGGGACACCCGAGTCCCGCCTCCCTCCCGCTCCCTCGTCCATCCCCATGCAGCTGCCTCCAAGCCCGCAAGGCCTTGGTCCGAGAGGACAAGGGGCGACCCACCGTCACCGCCAAACTGACCGATCCCAACGTACAAGACACACGACGAAATCAAAGGGGCTCAGCCCGGGGGCCGCCAGGTGGAGGCTGTGCTTTGGGGGGGGGTCGGGAGGGAGAGAGCGGGAGAAGGGAGAGTGCAGGAGGGAGAGGGGACGGGGCTGCAGAGCTCACCACGCGCCTGGCGGCCCCTCACCGACCCACCCGGGTGCACGCGTCTCTACGACCGGGCGTCCGTCTTGGACTTGACTATCGTGATGACGCTGGTGGCAGCCACTTTGCCGGGCACGAGCGGCCCCAGGCCGGCGGTGAGGGGGCCCCGGGCTGGCGCCACGGGGCTGCGGGCCACCGTCCTGGCGAAGTTCTGCAGGGCCTCGTACTTGGAGCGCAGCGCATCGAGCTCCAGCTTCATGCTGGCGTTCTCCGAGGCCAGCTTCTCCACCTCCAGCTGCAGCTCCGCCTTCTGCTTCTCCAGCTCCTCCTTCTGCGTGACGCGCTTCACGCGGCAGCTGGCGGCGTAGCCGCGGTTCTTGAGCGTGCGCCTGCGCTGTTTGAGCTGAATGATCTCTTCTTTGGACAGGCCGCGCAGGTGCTGGTTCAGCTCTCGGACCGACATGCTCACCAGCTCCTCGTCAGTCAGGCTGGTGCCATTCTCGCCGGGCTCCCGCTTCACCTGGGGGGCAGCGCGCGGTCAGGGCGGGGACCCCCGGAGCGCCGCCCACACTCGCCCTCACATGGGAGGCAGCGCGGCTCGCCCCAGACAACGCGTCCCCACTCACCTTCAAGGCCTTGCTTCCTTTATTGGGGGTCGTCATAACCCGGGGGCACAGCGAGCAGACTCTCTCTGCAAGACAGGGGGCAGAGGTGAGGGCTCGAGACACCCCCCCCTCCTTCCACCCCCCACACCCTCCCATCCCGCCCCAGCTCACCTGCCCATTCCCCCATACCTGACCCCAGGACAACCCCTGCGGGCCTCTCGGGATGGGTGGGGCTGCTCCTTGTGCACCCTGCCCTTTGGGACCCAGGTGGGAGCCCCGAGGGTCTGGCGGGCAGGGCAGCTGCAGGTTGCACGGGAGGCAGAGGCAAGAAAAGGGGCAGGGGGGATTAGAAGGACGACAGTGCAGAAGGGGCGGGCCCAGAAGGAAGCCACTAGCTTTAAAAATAACCTGGCGTGCGCGCCCTGGAGTGGCTGTTCCCCCGGCGAGTCACGCTGACTCAGCACAAGGCCAGCACTCCGGGGCCCTCCTGCAGCCAACGCAGCAGCCAGGGGAGACCTGCAGGAACAGGCTGCGGGAGGGCCGGCAGGGCCAGCAGCAGGTGAGGGCGGCACTCACAGCCACCGTGAACCCGGGAGTCCCACGGGCCTGTCTCCAGCTGCCACTAGGACTAAGCCCCTGCTCCCAGGAGAGCTGGAGCCTATCCCCACAGGGGACTCGGCAGGGACTACCCAGAGACAGCTAACTTTGCAAAGTTGGGGGTGAGGTCGCCCGACCAGCTCTGGCCCTTCTCAGCAGCTCCCCACCTTGAGGTGGTACCCAACCTGAGGCCACCCCAGCCCTCTGTCCACTTCCCTTGGTGATGGGGCAACTGGCCTTGCGGCTACCACTACAACATCCTGTGTCCCTGCCCCACCCCATAGGGGTGTTTCACAAGGGCCGCTGAACAGCCACCAGAGCCCTGCTCGGCAGGCAGTGGAGCCCCCCTCCCTGGGGTCACTGAAGGCTCAGGCTGCCAGGCCAGGTCAGTGCTCACAGGGCCAGGAAACCAAGACAAAGATCCACCTCACCCACACAGGGATACTCCCACCCCATCCCCTCAGGTATCTTACTGAACACGACCAAGGCATTTTTGCCCAGTGAGCCCCCAGACCTATAAGCCAGGCTTTCCCTACGCCCCACTCTGTCCCCACTTTTCAGGTTAGATCAGGGAGTGACTGGCTCAGGAGGGAGGGGTCCAGAAGGAAAGCACAGCTAGAGACAGTGTGGCGTGGAGGCTCTCGTGCCCCTCCAGGCACTAAGGTGCAGGGAGGTAAAGGTACCTGTCCACACTGCCCCACAGAGACCCCATTTTACACCACAGACCCAGCCACCCACCCACAGGCGAGAGAGTGGGGAGGAGAATCCCTCCCGGCCTGGGATCCTTCCAGGCCCCAGGGTGCAGATCAGAACTGGAGACCACAAAGTTCTGCACCACATTTGCCCCAGCTACCTGGAGGAGCTCCCCGGCAGGTGCAGAGGCCCAGGCAAAGGTGGCCCCAGGCTGCCTTGGCGTCAGCTTTTCCCACCCCTCCCCCACCACTCAACACAACGTTGACTTCCTGAAGAGATGGCGCTGGGAGCAAGCAGAAAGTGCCTCCTCAACAGATTTCCCCTCCGCAGAAGGCCTGAACTCAGCAGATGCAGCCCAGGCTCCCGATCAAAGGTGCGCTGTGTGTGCCGGGGTCTCTGCCCACCCTGAGGACGGGCTGGGAGCGAGGGCTCCAAGGCACCTCGGGAAGCGGCTCCCAGAGACTGATTAAGAAGGGGCTGCCCACCCCAGCCCTCCTCCTCCCAGACCCAAAGGCTGGCCATCCACCTACCCCCCTGATTGAGAATCTTCTAGACAAAAGATCAACCTCCCACCCTCCAAAAGGCTGAGCCCACTGCATGGAGAAGGAACCCTGTCCAAGGGTCCCCCAAGGGCTCTGGGCCACGCATCAGGCTGAGGGCCAGGAGCAGAAGGGGTCTGGATAGCAGCCCCTTTCCCAGGCCCCAGCCCCAGAGCCTGGACACTGCGGGATGCCCACACCCACCACCTCCAGGGAGCCCTCAGCTAGGAAGCCACTCTGTGAAGAGTCCAGACCTCATTTCACTCAGGCACAAAGCACTGCTAAGGCAACACCCTCCAGGAGTCTGCATTTTCCTAAAAGAAAAAACTCCAGCAAAAGGTCCCCTAAAGTGCAACAACATCTCTAAGCCCCAAGGGCAAAATGTGAGGTTTAGGGGGGAGTGGCACCCCTAAGGGCACATGAAAGAGCTGACCTGGGGGGGCCCTGAACCCCAGGGCCAGAAGCCTCACATGCCACCCAGGAGAGCAGCTCAGGACACACCACCTTGAGGCTGTCCATTCCCAGCAGTGCCTGGGCACTAAGACCAACACCTACCAGAGCCCTGTTCCTTGCTAACTTCTCCAAATAGACTCAACCTCAGGTGGAGGCAACCCTGAGGTCACGGGACATTGCAGTCCCATGCCACACCGGCCACCTGCTGCGCCCCAAGGCCAAGGCACCCTGACAGCTCCCACCACCATCCCAACCCCATCCGGAAGTGGAGATGCAGCACTCCAGAATGAACCTCTCCAGGAACCTCCTGGTTTCTACAGGCCTGAAGAAACGTCCCGGTGAGTGGTGAGTGGCCCCTAGGGCCGGTCCCTGATCCCTGTCCCCTCCACCCTCTCCGCCCCACTGCCTCCTTCTCTGGCCAGGGGCGGCCGAGCCTTCCCAGCCCCGCCAGCACGGCCCCCTAAGCTCCTCCCCTCCTCTCGGCTCCGAGAACTAGTTCCCGGTTTGGTGAATGCCCCAGAAGAGCGTGCCTGGAAGGGGATGGCCAGGTGCGTCACTCCTCGCCCAGAGCTAACCTGCAGTGGGACGCGCCCCACGTCCCCCTCGCTGCCCTGCCGCCCGGGCTGCCCATCCGCCGCGTCGCTGGGGCTCCCCTTCACCCCTCGGCTCCCGGCCCCTCCCCCAAGCCCCCCAGTTCCAGGAGGAGCGTCGAGTGACCTCATGCTGATGACTCAGCAGGTCTCCCTCTCGGCTCGGGCACGCGTGCGAGGCAGCCGCGGAGGCACAAGCAGGGC